AAAAAAAAAAAAAAAACCCTTTTTAATTTTCTTTGTTAATTTCTTAATTACTCTTTTTTTATTAGAGATTTAAATGTACCAAAAACCTTAATTTAAGTTTCATCAAGAACTTGTATTTTTCACTTAAGATTGCTATTTAAAAACAAAAGCCAAGCAGTAAAGAAAATGGACATATGCGATTTCATGGAATTTGAAAGCAAGAGTATTACGAATTAGACGATTTAAAGTCTATCGTACTGCACAGTATGGAAAACGTTAAAAGAACACAAGCCTGCAAGCAACTTTATTTATAAACAAAGCCTTAATCATGTATATTATAAACATTTGTTATGTTCTGCCTTGATCAAGAAACAAAGCCAATTGTCCAAGCATAACCTTGGCCTTTGTGCTGTTAGGAAAATTCAAATTGAAGACATGATCTTCTCCCTTCACCTCTATAACTTGAACAACTCCACCCCATTTACTCTTCTTGAGTGCCTTCCCATAAGCAAACCCTCTATCCCTATATATATCCTTCTCACCCACATAAACCAACACTTCCTTGGGCCCCAACATGGAGAGGTTCGGATCCTTAAGCGGGTTCAACAACGGGTCGTCGAAACCCGTCGATTTCGGATACGCGTGGACCCAGACGCTCTCGACGAACGCGACTCTCCTAGGGTTCCTCCTCTCGTTCCCGATCAACTCCTCGCCCCAAAAACGCGGACAATTGAGAAACATCCCTTTTAGATCGATCCGGGCCCGTTCGTCAAGCCCGGCCCGAATACCCACGTTGTGCGCGATGTTCCCGCCGGCGCTGTCCCCCGCCACGTACACCCTCTTGAAATCGACGTACCTCTCGAGCCACGGCTCGCGGCCGCGCGAAAACGCCCATTTTAGCGCGTGCCAAGAATCTCGGTACGCGGTCGGGAGGGGGTGCTCGGGGGCTAAACGGTAATTTACCGAGACCCCCACGACGTGGGCTTTCGAGACGACGGAGTTTAGGTGGTTGTGGTAAGTGGGAGAAAAGGCAGACTCGACGAAAAACGCGCCTCCGTGGAAGTAGACCAATAGCGGGAGTTTGCGGGAGTCTGCGGTGGCGTTCGCGGGCCGATAGAGACGGGCCGTGATGTTGAGCGCTCGGGAGATGGGTATGGATATGTCTTTGGATAGGACACGGGACGTGGAGTCGTAGGACGCGGGCACGGTTTCGGTTCCGGTGAGACGTTCGACGGTGCCGTTTTCGAAGACCCTTATGAAGGGAAGGACTTGGTAGGCTATGGAGGAAGTGTTTGTAGAGGTTGTTGGTGTTGAGAGGAGATGGAAGATGAGGAAGGAACAAATGAGGAGGAGAGGTTTGGTGAGAGGCATTGTGAATGTGATTACTCATGTGGAAATTGAGAGATTAAAGCCTATAAAGTTGTGTTGGAAATTTAACTCTCTTATTACTTTAAATGTTGTATTTATGAAAATGAACTAGGATTGGCTACAAGGGAAATGAACAGAACAGGGTTAATTAAATAAGCTAGGCACATTCACTGTTATGATGACTAAAAAGCATTCAAATACCATAGTTTGGCTGCCTAATTTGTTAGCCGCCTAGTTAATTAAGCAGTATAATAAATTTACGTACTTTTATTTCAAAATATAATGGTATAAAAAATTACAATGTTTGTAGATCGCTTTGATCATCAAGTCGTCACAAGAGAAACATACACCATAACTACCCTCACCCAACAATCTAACACAGTTGTGATCCTCCTTATACCCAATTTTACTCGGGAATCTAAAAATGTGCCCTCACTGAAGACCCGCTTATGAACCCCACAACCCGGTCCATCAACACACCCGACCCATCGCAAACCGGGTCTAACAAATGAAAAACGTGCCCCTCGCCGACCGACTCGAACAACTCGACCGGACCCCTAAAACCGCTTTTCCTCAACCCCTCGCAGTAAATCAAGCCTCTGTTCCTCAGAAGATCCTTCTCCGCCACGCACACCAGCACCCGATCGCAGCCCAATCGGGCCAATTGATCCGGATCGGCGGCCGGGTTCAACCTGACGTCACCCGCCCCCTTCGAGTCGGGGCAGAGGAAATCCCACAGCTTTTCGGGCTTCCCCGCCCCGAAATACGGGTGGATCAAGATCAGGCCCGAGAATCTCAGCCCGATCCCGGGCCCACTCACGGATGATCGAACGACCATGTCGTGCGCGATGTTGGCGCCCGCGCTGTCCCCGGCGACGTACGCACGGCTGAAATCGGCCCGATCGTTCAGCCACGGATTGGGTCCGGGTTCGGATCCGGAGTGAGACCCGACCCACTCGACCACGGCATGGGCGTCCTCGTAGCAGGCCGGGATCGGGTGTTCGGGCGCCAGCCGGTACTCGACGGAGACGACGACGGATCTGGATCTGGAGGCGAGGGCGTTTAGGTATCGGTGGTAGAAGGAGGAGAAGGCGGACTCGATGCAGAAGGCGCCGCCGTGGATGTAGACAAGGAGGGGCAGTTTGCGGCCGGGATCGGCGGTGGGGAGATAGATCCGGGCGGAGGCGCCGTTCTCCGCCGAGATGGAAACGTCCTTGGAGGCGACGCCGGTGAGGGGGTCGTGGGAGGGGGAGACGAAGTCATGGCGGTGGTACCTCTCGACGCGGCCGGTGGAGTGGATGCGGAAGAAGGGCGGGAAGTCGTGAGCGAGGATGATTGGGGTGGAGTCCATTTGCCGGCGAAGTTAATTGAGAGGGAGAAGAGGAGATGTGATTAGCCAAATTTGATGGCAATTTATTATTTATGAGGTCCGAATAAAATAAAAGTGGAGGAAAATGACTGGGTTATGTAGAATCGTTTGAACGGGTTGTTTATTGGAGCACCGAATAGGGACAAAATCCATCAGTCGGTGAAAAACAACTGCCTCTACCTTCTTGCCCAAAAAG